AAAAAATACTTTAAAAAAATTTTCGACTCTGCGCGATAAGATAATCGCTCTACGAAAAAAGACTAAACTACTGACTGACGAACAATTACAGAAAAAATTTGCTTATTATCGGCAAAGAGTTCGCCGGATGCCTAAAAAAGGCCGTGAAAAGTCCCTGGATAAATATCTGGTTCCGGTTTTTGCTCTGGTGCGTGAGGTTATTAAGCGCAAAACGGGGCTTTTTCTGTTCCCTACTCAAATATTTGGAGGAATAGTACTTCATTATGGTAATATCGCCCAAATGAATACGGGGGAAGGAAAAACTCTGACGGCTTTTTTACCGATTTGCCTCAATGCCCTCTTGGGACGAACAGTTTTCGTTATTACGGTCAATGAATATCTGGCCCAACGGGATTGAAGTCTCTCTAAACCTATCCTTGATTTCTTTAAAATCAGTTCGGGAGTTAATTTGACTAATATTTCGACGGAAGAGAAAAAACGACTATATAATGATTGCACGGTCATTTATACTACCGGCAGCGAATTAGGATTCGATTATTTACGGAATAATTTAGTAACTAATATTGAGGACAAGAAAAAACAGGACTATTATTACGCGATCGCTGATGAAATTGATTCGCTTTTTATTGACGAATGTACTAATCCCCTCATCATTTCCCAAAGGGTCCAAGGAGAAAATGTCATTAGTCCAGCCGAATACCAATTGGCTACCAAATTGGCTAATGCTTTAGTAGAAAAAAAAGATTACAAAGTCGACCAAAAAGAAAGAGAGGTTTGGTTAACGCAAAAAGGGATTAGAAAATGCGATAAATTTTGACAAATAGATAATCTTTTTGCTTTCAAAAACCATCGTTATAATTTTCTGCTTCATAATGCCTTGAAAGTCAAACATTTTTACTTCAAGGGTATTGATTATATTGCTGATAGAGAGGAACAAAAATTAGTATTGATTGACGCCTTGACTGGTCGTTTGGTGCCAAATAGAGTTTACAGTTCTGGTATTCACCAAGCCATTGAGAGCAAAGAGAATTTGCCAGTCAGCATCAAAAGTAAGACGATTGCGACTATTACCTACCAAAATTTTTTCCGCCTCTTTGATAAATTGTCCGGCATGACCGGGACCGCTGCGAGCGAAGCCGATGAGTTTCGCCAAGTTTACGGCATGGAAGTGATTGCCATCCCTCCTTATCGAAAATTAATCCGCCAGGATCGCAACGATTTAGTTTTCTGGGACAAAAAGAGCAAATATGATTATATCATCAAATTAATCAAAAAAAACCAGAAAACTGTTCGTCAACCCATTTTGATTGGTTCTCCAAGTGTGGAAGTTTCCGAACATTTATCCTCGCTGTTAAAAAAAGAAAATATTCCTCATAATTTACTTAACGCAGTCAATCATAAACAAGAAGCCGAAATAATTGCCAAAGCCGGGCAAATTGGCACCATTACCATTTCTACTAATATGGCCGGACGGGGGACTGATATCATTCTTGATCTGGAATTTCTCCTATTTAACTTGAAATTTGTGGCTGAAAAACTTCGTGATATCGATACCGATGAGGCCAAAAAAGTTAGAGAAAAAATTAATGAATTTTTGAAATGGTGTTCAGAGCATAAAGAGGAAACAAAAAAAGTTAGAGAAAAAATTAATGAATTTTTGAGAGATTTGCGAGGCAAAAAATATACAAAAAAAGTTCAAGCAGTAATTGATAAGTTTGTAAAAGGTCTAGGAGTGTTAGGAATAGAAAGAAATACTACCCGCCGGGCTGATAACCAGTTACGGGGTCGGGCTGGACGCCAAGGAGACTCGGGCGAAAGTCAATTTTTCGTTTCTTTGGAGGATGAAATGTTAAAAAATTTTGGGGTTAAAGAACAAGTAGGCAAATTTTTCAACCAAAAACAATTAAAAGAACTTTTTCACAAGCCGTTAAGTGGCAAAATATTCAATTATCTCATTTCTGAACCCCAAGAAACTTTACGGAATGTTCATGCTTCCAACCGCCAATATCACCTTAATTATGACTTGCTTATTAATCGGCAAAGACAATTCATTTATAATTACCGCGATAAATTATTAAAGACAGATGACCTAACTAAAATAATCAAAAAAAAGTCCTTGGCTAAAAAAGGGGAAATTGTGCCTATCGAGCAAGAATATTTAAAAGCCCGTTTGGTGAAAGAAATTGACAATTTTTGGTCGGAATATTTGGAATCTTTAAATAAAATCCGCACTTTGGTCAATGTCAGGGCTTATCTGCCCCAAGAACCCCAAGAGGCCTTTTTTTGAGAGACCATTAATTCTTTCCAGCAAGGATTTAGACAATTAAGCGATAGGCTGGGAGATATTGCTTACCAGTAGAAAAATGACAAAACAGAGAATAACCGCCAATCCAGGAGAATGAATTATTACCCGCCGTGGAGATTTTGTGCGAATTAAAGATGGCGAAATAGTGACCGAGGGCAATTTAACCAAAATCCGCGAGCATTTAAAAAAACCATATCGAGGGGTGGTTCGTTTTCATGAAAAAACCTCCGAACAAATTGTCAAAGAAAGATACGATAAAGTTTTAGAAGAAGTTGATTTTGATTATGAGAAGTTTCATGACTGGATTTATGACGAGAAAAATAAGGAGAGAATTGAAATTATACCAAGAAAAATGGTTTTTTCTGGTTGAGAGTATGAAATTGACGAGGTTGAATACCAACGAGATATAAGTGCTGTTTTTAATTATGTTAAGAGTTCAAAACAAAAATGGAGAATTAAAAAAGAAACATTAGTCAATGAAGAAACCGGGCAAATAATTTATTTTAATCCCCAAATTAACGGAATAATTGATGATTTAAGGACAAATTGAGATTATCTATATAATGGCGGATCGGTCATAATCAGAGAACCAAGAGAATGCAAGCCAAAAGGAAAGCATGCCTCAACATTAATTTTTCTCCATGGCACTTATGGAGCGGGTTCTCTGAACCAATTAGCAGAAAAAATTCCGGGTCTAAAAATTATTCATCCTCATTCACCAACTCTCCAATACGATATGTGACATGGCTCATTAAGAGCCCCAGGCGGTCAAGAAAAAGGCTGAATCAATATTACTGGTGATGCTTGGGAAATTATGGAAAATGATATTGTCCCAAACAATCCCTCCCAAGTAGATTACGAGAAAGTGGACCAGTCAATCCATTTAGATTATCCGCAATTGAGGCGAGCAATGGCTTATTTTAATGAGATTATTGAAAGAGAAATTGCCAGCGGCATCCCACCAGAAAAAATTTTTATTTCTGGTTATTCCCAAGGCGGCTTATTAACTTTGGCAACGGCCCTTGCTTCCCAGCATAAATTAGGCGGATTTATTTCTCTTTGCGGTCTTTTGCCACGACCAGATAAATTGCTAAAAATAGCCCAAGACAAAAATAAGAATACTCCGATGCTTATTATTAATAACTCGCATGACCGCTGAATTCCCCTGTGGACCGGTCAAAAAACTTACGAGATTTTGAAAAATAAAGATTATAATGTTGAGTTCAAAACTAGACCCGGTTTGGGACACGGCTGAAAAGACGAAGACATAGTCGAATTTCTGGAAAAATGTCTGACACAGAAAATCTCCATTTCCAACCAAAATAAAACTAGATATTGGCCGTGAATATTAGGGGGAGTAGTTATAGCGATACTGTTCTTAATAATTTTTGCTAAAATTAGGGCAAAAAAAAAAAAAAAACGTTAGACATCATATTAATATATGACCACAAGTAAAAATAATGATAATTACAAATTGATAA